GCCCACTAGTCAGCCATGGTTCCATGGTGCCCCATAAATCCTAAGCTGTTTCTATTATTAATAATCAAATCCAGCTGATGGTAGAGGCCCCAGTGAAAAGCAGTCACAGGAGAAGGCAGGGCTGGACGGTCGGTCTCCCCACGAGCAGAGCACTGGAGAACTCAGATTTTTCCACCGGAATGAGGCTTGCTGTCACATCACCCAGTAGGAGTTTACAGAACACCTACTGTGTGTTCCCTTCCTTGTAGAGGCTGAAGATGTCTAATGGTTCCTAACGAAGGGTCTGCTTGACACCACAGGGTTGAGTCTAGGGAGCGGGCACTCAGGAATATAATTCGTCAAAGCAAGAAAAAAAAAAAGACATTGGTAGAGCCAGGGTTAAGTGAGAACCACGGGGGGGCGGGGGGGGGTCCAGATGATACTCCTGGAGGGGCTGGCACCCCATGCTCCCTGGCAAAGGATGGCATGCACAAAGCTATATGTGTAAAAAGTTGAACAAAGGGCCTGGGTGGAGAGCCACGGAGCAGCCAGGGGTCGGGAGAAGCTCTGAGCAGTGCAGTAGCCACGGGAAATGTGAGGCGCAGGCTGAGGGACTCTGAGGAAAAAGGAAGTAAATGTGATGGCGATGTGGACAGAAGGGAAGGGAAAGGGAAGAGTGAAGGGAGAGGGGGAGGAAGGGAGAGAGAGAGAGACAAAGAGACAGAGAGAGAAACACAGAGAGACAGAAAGACAGAGACAGAGAGACACAGAGACAGAGAGAGAAACACAGAGAGAGACAGAGAGACAGAGATAGACAGAGACAGAGACAGATAGAGACAGACAGAGACAGAGGGAGACAGAGAGACAGAGATAGAGTGACAGACAGACAGAGAATCAGTTTCAGCATTCGTTTGCCTCCTATTGCTGTGATAAAGATGGTGACCAAACACAACTTGAGGAAGAAAGGGTTTCTTCGGCTTAGGCTTGCTTCTGTCTCACAGTCCATCGCTGAATAAGGGCAGGAACCCGGAGGCAAGAACCCGGAGGCAGGAACCAGGAGGCAGGAACTGATGCCGAGGCCATAGAGGAAGCTGCTCACTAGCTTGCTCCTTATGGCTTGCTCAGCCTGCTTTCTTACACACGCCAGGACTACCAGCCCTGGGGACGTGGGGTGTGGCACCACCCACAGTGGACTATGCCCTCCCGCACCAATCATCAATCAGGAAAACACCCCCATGGTCTTGCCTACAGACAGTTGGGTGGAGACTTTTTTTTTTTTCAACTGAGGTTCCCCCTTCCCAGATGACTCTGGTTTATGTCAAGTTGATGAAAAATGAACCGAGACAGAAGGGCAAGTCAGGTGAGGGGGGTGAGGGAGAGGAAGAAAGAGAGGGAAAGGAAGGGAGAGAGAGAGGGAGAGATGGAAAGAAAGGAGACAAAGCAGAGGAAGGAGGAAGGGGAGGGGTGAGAAGGGAGAGAGCCTGGCCTAGGAAGTCCCTTCAGGTTACGCAGCCACTGGTGTTCTGCCTTAAAAGGCAGTATCTGTGCAGTTTCCATGACACCTGTCAGGGAGAGTAAGGAGGAGCATTCCAGGCAGTGGAACAGCCCAGGCCATGGCTCTGAGATAGCCTTGGGAAACTTGAAGCAGGAGGGTAGCAGGGAGTTGCTACTCAGTGAACGAAAAGTGAGGCTGAGCTTGAGTAGTGGGTAGCAGGGGTATGGTCAGCAGAGAGGAAGGACTACTATCTGTCCACAGTGTGTGTGTGTGTGTTGGCGCACGTGTGTGCGTATGTGTGTGTGTACGCGTGTGTGCATGTGTGGGCAGCAGGCAGGGAGGACTGTGTCCACAGTGGGGATCCCCCTGAAGGGCTAATGGTCTGGTCTGATCTCAGCTCTGAAAAAAAAACTTTGACTTCCATTGGACAGAGACATTTTAAGAAAGGAAACAGATGTCAATCCCAGTACCGGGGAGGCAGAGGCAGGCAGATCTCAGATCAAGTTCCAGGACAGACAAAACAGTTACACAGAGAAACCCTGTCTCGGAAAACAAACAAACAAACAAAAAAAACAGAAAGAAAGAAAGGAAACAGAAGGTCCAGGTAGGAGACAAAAGACATTTAGTAGGACATTAGTGCTGAGATTGAAGGTATCCTCCTGATCTGCTGTCTGTACGCACACGCACATGTATACACATGCACACACACACACACACACACACACACACACACACACACACACACACACACTTAGACATTTAGTTAGATGGGGCATATGGTCATTTGGGGGATATTCTTTAGCAATAAACCTGATATCATTTGCTGAAAGATGAAGCCCACTGGGCCAGGCATGGTGGCTCATCCTTAATTCCAGCACCTGGGAGGCAGAGGTATGTGGATCTCTGTGAATTTGAGGATAGCCTGGTCTACATACCAAATTCCAGGTCAGCCAGGGTTATATAGTAAGGTCCTGTCCAACAGCAGCAGCAACAACATCAACACATGACCACAGGTGACCAGAGGAGCTGGAGAAACCATTCTTGATGATTCTCCAAATGCCTCCTATGTCTTTAGCTCACTTGACCTGATGAAATTCCATGCTTAATCTTCAGCAGCACTGTTGGCAGTGATGCCTCAATTTCAATGGCTGGGAAGAGACATTCCTGAAGTGGAGTTCAAGACAGAAGCTGCTTCCACTAGAGGCCACGAAGCCAGCTCTCTGCTGGGCTGCCACGCTCCCCTCCTTCACATCAACGCCTTTTCCAACGTTGATTGTGAAATCGGGAATTCAGCCCATTCTCAGTGCTCTGGGTGAGAGACCTGGTTGGTGTAGCCCGGTTGGGCAAGCCCTAAAATGTCAGATGGCGTCAAGGCTCCCAAGGCAGAGATCACTAGGGCAGACCGTACCTCTGGAACCCGCTCTGGGAAGTGAGTCTCACCAACCCTTTGAATGCCACCCCAGATCTCAGCGCACACCCCCCCCACACTCCTCCAATGGCTTCTAGCTTTCCACTTGTGACAGTTTCGGTGATATCCTATGACAGGAGGAATATGCAGCCACAGGGATGCAGCTCGGTGCCCGGGAAATGTCACCTCCAATTGATGTCACCGAGGAAAGAGAAGCAATTAAGGCGCTAGCTCATTCTTGAAGCTCTGGCTCCAGGCAGACTGTAGGGGGTAGAGAGGAAGATGGAGGAGGAAAGCCCGGGAAGGCATGGGAACGGGGTGGCGGGGGATGGAAGGGGCTAGAAACAGGGCAAGGAGGGGAAAGGGGTGCATTTCCCATCACCAAGGGAGCAGGTCCATAGGAAACCTCTGTTAAATGACCCAATGATCACTAGCAGATGCTATGGTGTGTCACTCAGGTCATGCAGTCTCTCCCTTCAGGTCCGTGGGACTGCCAGCTCTAGGGTGTGACAGATGTGTAACAGCTCCCAGTGGAGTCCCTTCGGGGCCACTGCCTGGCAGCCTGCTCGCCATAGGAGCACCATACACAGTGACTTGTTGGCTTGGGTGTCCAAAGACTTAATCTCTTGAACTTCAACTCAAAATAGCAGTAATGGGCCAACCCAGCTCATGAGCCCCTTGTTAGAGAGACCGACGCCTTCTTTTGTGTTATAGCTTGAATATGTAGTATATTACCATGGGCTCCTATGTTGAAGGTTGGTCCCCAGCTAAGTGGTGCTGGTGTGGAAGGTTCTGGAAAATTTAGGAACTGCCAACTACTTGGAGAAAGTAGGCCATTGGGGGCATGGCTTTGAAGCTTACACATGATCCCCAGTCTCTTCTTCTCTTTCTGTTTCTTGTCAGGCATGACAGTGAAACTCCCTCCTCCCTACACTTTCATTCTTTCTCTGGTATTTGTTCCATAGCTGACCCAATGACCAACTCATGCAAGTCTTGGCATCATTCAAGCTGCCCTGCTTGCAGCTCCCTGTGAGGCAAGTAGACACAGATGGGCTACTCTTTGCACAAAAGCTGACACTACTTGATCAAAGAGTCGTCTATGGATTAGGGCAAAGGGGTCAGCAACTCTAACCAAGGGCAAAATGCCAGTAACTTAGGAAAGTGTTTTCTGTCTTCTGTAACATGCCAATCATGAATGGTCTATTTGCGCCTCCACTCACAGTGATAAGCCATCCTCAGTGACTTCCATCTTTTCTCTGCTGATGAGTTTGGTGGCCATCTTTGTTCTAAGATGGCTGCTGTAGTGAATACGTGATGCCTGAATTCTAAGCAATGAGGGGAGGAGACACTGAATTCAGTCTCTCCCCTTTAAGGATTTGTTCAATCTCTTCTTTTGACTTCCCATTGGCCATCACTTAGGTCTGTAGACAGCTTGTTCTCAGATACAATCGGTCAGTTCCAAAGAAAGGGGGATGTTGGCTGGGGAGGGCAACTGGTTATCTTTGGACAGATCAATGACATGACTCTAACCATAGGCTGATGTGGAGCTTGTGGAGTAACCTGTGGCAAAAGTGGCTTGTAGTGGGCTAAATTTAGATGGTACAATGGGAATATGTGGCCATTGGGAAAGAGAAATGGACAGAGTAGGCAAGATGTAGAGGAGGAAGAGGCAGAGGGTGAGGCCATTTCTTGAGGTATTTCAATCAGTTCTTAGTTCTAACCATGAGTCTTGTGCCTACTTCTGGAGTAGAAGTAACAGAAACCCAACTTAGGCAATCATTACAGTTGTGAAATGGTGTAGACAGATCTTTCTTTGGGCCGACAGAGACTTTTTATTAATTATAAAAGCTCAGCCTATAGCTCAGGCTTGTTGTATTAGCTCTTATACCTTAAATGAACCCATTTACATTAATCTATGGTTTTGCCTCGTGGATTTTTACCTCTCTTTCATCTTGCACCTCCTGTTTTCTCTCCATGTCTTCTGGTGTCTCTCCTATGCTTAGGTTCATCTCCTCTCCTTCTCCCTCTGCCTGGAAGTCCCACCTAACTTCTTCCTGCCTAACAATTGGCCACTCAGCTCTTTATTAAACCAATCAGAAGGCACCTTGGCAAAGACACATCTTCACAGTGCACAAAAAGATTATTCCATAACAAAATGGGGTCAGGAGATGAGAGAGAGAGAGGGGTGGGGAAGAGAGAGAGAGAGGGAGAGAGGGAGAGAGGCTTCAGAAATGGGTTGTTTGGCAGTTCAACAATGTTTTCAATGACTCAGGGGCTCAGAGGTCACTCTCCATTCCATCATCTACATTTGTGGCTTCAACCTCAGGATGACTGACTTCTCTCATGGTGACAACATGGCCATCAGCAGCCACCAGTTCCTTCATTGAACCTGGCAGTGGAGAATGAGAGAGGAAATTATTGGTATCTACATCCTGTCTATCAGATTGGATCAATTAAGAAAATATGTTCTTCCTGGGTTCAGACACGGTACAGAGTGACTGGACAAATGAGCCTCCACATCTGCAGATGGGATGGGGGAAATGTGGATAGAATTAGGTTCTTTGGGGGTTTCTATTGAGAAACCTACAGTTCCCACTCACCTACAAAAGCCCTATTTTTCTTAAGGTGGCCAAAGAGTACTTCATCCTTGAAACACAGAAGACGTAATTCATGACCACAAGGAGACTCAAAGGTGAGGTGCTCCTCAATTGCTAGAGGATGGAAGAAAGAAAGAACAAAGGGAAAGATTTGGTTATACATCCCAGCGAGGCGCCAAGTTGCAGAGGGACAATTAATGGAGAGGTATCAAGGCTTGGAGTCACAGGGAGCATCTTTGGAAGAAACCCAGAATGCTCCAGCAAGCCCTCAGACAAACTGGATGGTGAGACATCCAGAGAAGCATGAAGAATCCCATCCAGCATGCCAGAGAGACCACAGCATGGCAACCACTTGGCAGATTGGAAATAAAAATCCGAGCAATGGCCATTTGTCATCTAAGGATCATCTGGCTGGTAGTAGCACATCTTGGGAGAATATCTAGGGCCCTGACTCCTTGATATCGCTGAGATACTTGGTCTTCATGATGGTTAATATTGTTTGTCAACTTGACAGGATCTAGAGTCACCCTGGAACAAACCTCTGGCCATGCCGGTGAGAACATGTTTTTGTTACGTTAACTGGTAGAAGAGTACCCAACATAATTGTCGGTGACACCGTCCCACAGACTGGGGTCCTGGACTGAATAGAAAGGAGAAAGTGAGCTGAGCATCAGCATCCATCTCTCTTGCTTCCTGACCGTGGATGCCATGTGACCAGCTGCCTCATGTTCCTGCCACTGTTCCCTCCCCACAGCGATGGACTGTCTCCTTCAACCGAGAGCAAAAAAGAAACCTTTCCTTCCTTAAGGAGCTTTGTGGAGCATTTTGCCACTGAGGCAACACAAGTAATGAGAATCGGAGGAGAAAGAGGTCAGTCAGCAAAGCTCTTGCCTTCTAAGGACCCGAGACGGATCCCCAGAAGTCATGCAATAAAGCTGGACAGGTTAGCATGGATTATAGTCCCAGTGCTGGAGAGGAAGAGAAATTTGGGTTCGCTGGCCGGGGAGCCTAGCGAGGGAGACCATGTCTCAAAAAGCAAAGGTGGACAGCACCTGAAGAACACCCTATATTCTGGACTCCACATGAACAAGCACCCTTAGACACACATGCACACATGTGCACATGCACACACATATGTGAACATGCATGAAAGAAGACTAACTAGTACAGTGTTATTCTAGAACTTTCTTCCTTGGTTCTCCTCTGTGCTTCTGCAGAGGGCTCTGTCCTGCCACCCTCTAAGAGATGGCTCAGATGTGTCCCTTGTCCCTGTTCCCCGAGGAGCAGCATGATAGGATGGTAAGGAACAGTCTCTGAAATGGAGGTGGACCCAGCTTTGAACATGGTTCCTCCCTCAACCAGCCAGATGACCGCACAGACTCTTTCCTTTCTCCAGGGCCTCAGTTTCCCTGTGTGTAATGGAGAAGGTCACACGTGCTGAGATGGATGGTCCCCAGGTCAGGAATCACAGACACAACAGATCCAGGATGGTCCCGAGTTTGGAGGGAATCTTGACACGGACTCTCTCTGTGTTTTCTCCCGTCTCCAGGACCACAGGGGACCCTCCCAGCATTTCCTCCATTATGCCCTTGTATTCATTCATGACTGTCAGGTACCGCAGTGCTGGGGAAGAACACCATGTTGACCTGTCTTTCTTTTCCTCTTCCTCTTCATCCTCTCCCTCCTCTTCCTTGCAATGGTGAGGATTAAGTCTAGGGCCTAGTGCATGCTGGGCAAGTGCTCTACCATTGACTGATATTTCCAGCCCTCTTTTTTTTTTTTTTACTTTATTTTTTCAGACGACGTCTTACCATGTTGCCTCAATCTGACTGTAGCTCAGCAGGAAAAAATGTGTGATCCTCCTGCCTCAGCCTCCCCCAAGTAACTGATGTTGCAGACCCACGTCATCAAGCCTGGCTTCTTTTTCATTTTTCTTCGATTCAGGATTTTACTTACGTAGCCCAGGGTAGTCTCAACCTCATCGCTTTCTTGCCTCAGCCTCCCCAAAGGCTGGAATGACACATGCTTGCTGGCCACCATGCCCACCAGATCTTGAATTTAATTTTTCTCTTCACCCCGGGTCTCTCGAGGTCTGACACTTTCCACCATTTTTGTCCAGTGGCTCCTGTGTGGACAAGGATGAAGCAGCTCGTGGACCTCGAGGGCAGATCTACCCTGGATGTCTATGAATACATTTCTTTTTGATCAAGCCATAGCTGGCAAAGTGTAAAGGAGGCAGCGGGAACAAGGAGGTCATTTGAAATCCCCATCCTTTTCAGATTTTATACCCCATCTGGTCTCTCCTGCTGAGAAGCCGGCTGGGCACACAGACCTGAAAACCTATGCCAGACGACCAACTAAGTCCCAGAAGTCAGCTCCTGATGCTATTTGGCAACCTCAGGCCTCTCTGGGCCAAGGGTTTAGTGCCAAGTATAATTGTGATTTACACCCCATACCCCTTTGGGTGCAAAATGGTTTTGATTAGATGCATACCATGTTTATTAAGCCTTGCACAAGGCAAGCTGAGGGCTTGGCTTCTCTGCCGTAAGAGGGAGGGAGATTTACACGGCTCCCTGCAGGATTCATTTAATCTCTTGGGGATTTACTGACCTTCAATTAGAACTGTTAAGTACTGTTTACACGGTCCCTAATTCATACAAGACCCACGTAAGGCTGGCTTTTGCTTTCATTAAGGACCCGAATCAGGAAAATAAAATGTAAAAGGTCTCTGCCAAGCAAGATGTGATTGGGGTGGAGTGGGGGGGGGGCGGGATAAATGAAAAAGAACGACGAAAATCAGAAGCCGTTAGCAACCGAAAGCCTTGCTTGCTAGTTGTTTAGGGCAGGAAGAAAATTAATGCAATTTTAGAACGTGTTTAAAAATGAGCAGACAAAAAGTCACCCGGTATGAGAGAGTCAGGACAGAGGGGAGGTTGAGAGTTTTAAAACTCATTCTATGTCAAACATGAAACATCATCCACTGGTATTATTCAAACATTTGGGAGTGGAGAAAGTGTGTGTGTGTGTGTGTGTGTGTGTGTGTGTGTGTGTGTGTGTGTGTGTGTGTGTCCAGAAGGGTAACACTGGGTGCCTCCTCAGCTGCTGTCCACCTGGGATGGTTTGAATGAGAAAATGTTCCCCCATGGGTTCACATGTTTGAGCACTGGGTCCCTGGTTAGTGATACAGTTTGAGGAGATTGTGAGTCTTTAAGGAAGTGGAGCCTTGCTAGAGGAAGTAGGTCACTGTGAGGATTTATAGCCTCACCCCACTTCCAGTTTCCATTCTCTCTGGTTCCCAGCATGCCGACACCTCGTGATTGGCCAGCTTCCTACTCAGGTGCCTGCTTCCATGCCAACCTGGCCATTCCGGACTCGAACCTTTGAGGACCAGTGGCCAGGAGCAACTCTTTCTTCTTTCCGTTGCTTTTGGACATGCTATCTTATCTCAGTAGCAGACCGGCAGTGAACACCACCTTACTTTGTGAGACAAGATGATTCCTGACATCAACTTAGGCCTCCACATGCAAGTATATATACATACTTGCACACAGGCACACATACGTATAAACACACACCACACACGTGAAAAATGGAAAAAAGAAAATTCAAAAAAAAAAAGCACAGGTCATATCAGACAATCCATCTCTTTGTCCACTAGTGCTAAACTGTTCTACCCCCTGGAACATTGGAGACGTAGACCCTGACATTCACTGATGGGGTTAGATGAGTTGGCCAGGACCAGTTTCCTGGCTCCACCTCCCCAGCACCAGGATTTCCAGGTTATGTACCACCCTTCTGGCTTTAGAAAACACACTTTATAAAAATTGTGAGGAAACACACAATAACACAGGATCAGAAATCCACAAGCCCAGCTGCTCCCAGTGGGTGAGAAATCTAAGACTCGGGGAATCTGGTCTGGGCTGGGAGCAGTCATGAGCTTGTGGTCCATCGGAGAGACACCCCTCCCAAGCTGTAGGCACTGTAAAGACGGCTGGCTGAATTATTAGAAACAGTCACGCTCACTCTTGGAGAAGAGCCCTATGCAAATGGCTGGGAGTCACCGTCTTCTGCTGGGAGAGTTTGTTTTCAATTCTCCAACACGTCGTATGCATTGCTTTCAATTTCAGCCTTGGAAACAGAACACTTAAGCCATGACAGCCTTGGGGTGGGGACAACAAATTCAACCACAAGAGAGTGAGATAATAAGAGTCACGGCCAACAATGAGACTCAACAGATGTACCGAGCGCCTGTCATGACACCCAAAGTCCCCAATTGTCCTATGTGGTTGTCATGATGTCCCTAGTGTGACGTGACAGCCTGGGGAAAGGTGAAGTCATCAGGACAGGTCACACAGAGACGGGGTGGCAAGTCAAGCCTCACATGCCATCCAGTAACCCAGGGGCGTGAGATGGACACTTCTCTTTATTCCAAACAGCTCCATTTCCATTTGCAGTAGAAGCTGGGGCATTGCTATGGCTTCATAGGGGTCTACCTGTTGGTAACCCCTCCCCTGGAGTGAATTAGGCTCTGAACGATGCAGAGTTTGGCAACCAGGAGAAAATGGGGCCAGCCAGCACTTTCTGTATCTTAAGACCCATTGACAAGAATGCATTTGGGTCTACGTCTCCAATGCTCCAGGGGGCAGAAGAATTTAGCACTAGGGGACAGAGAGATGGATGGTCTGATACGACCTGTGCTTTTTGTGTTTTCTTTTTTCCATTTTTTCACGTGTGTGTGGTGTGTGTTTATATGTGTGTGCAAGTATGTATTTGTACTTGCATATGGAGGCCTAAGTTGGTGTCAGGAGTCATCCTCGTATGCTCTTTCATCTTATTCATGGAGGCAGGGTATATCAATCAAACCCAGAGCTCACTGGTATGGCTAGTCTTGCTAACCAGCTTGTTCTGGGGGATCCCCTCTCTCTCCCTTCCAAGACCAAAAGAGCAGGTGGGTTCTCACACCTGCTCTGCATGTATGCAGATTTGGGGGACCTGAGCTCCACTCTTCATGCTGGTGTGGCAAGCACTTGAACCACGGAGCTGTCTTCCTGCCTCCCCCTCCAATCTCTGCTTTTTCTTTTTGATTGTGGTTAAAATCCCACAGCACCATGGCATTTTCCCTCCAAAATCTGTAAGTGTCTATTGCCCACTAACATTTGTGTAATGGACTTCTAGAACTCTGCCCTCCTATGAAACTGAATCCAGACCCTTTAAACACCATTCCCTGTTCCCCACCCCAAGCTCCTGGCATTTTAGATGAAGGTATTTATTGATTTGTATTTCTTTTGTGCAGTGTTGGAGATGAAACCCAGGAGATGAAACTTCTTGAATGCCAGAAAATTGCATTATCCCTAAACTATGCATCTAGGGCTCGAGTTGATATGACATTCTCCGCTGTTATTCATGTCATGTCATTGTGTTCGTCAAAGGCTCCTTCTTTGTCAAAACTAATATCCCATTGTGTAAGATGACCATGTTTTCTGTATCTTCTCAGCCATGCCTGGACCTGTCAATTCTCTCCACCTCCTGACTATTATCCACAATACGTTGTCAGGAGCATGTTAGCAATGTGTATGTCTTCTGTGCAGAACAACCCATTCTTATTCTCTGCCCAATTTTTAATGGGGTCATCATCGGTTTATGTTCACTCTTGAGATGTCTGACTTCTTCTTATCTTTTGGATTATTGACTGCTTATTAAATGTAGGGCGCATCAATACTTCTCCCACAGCATAGCTTGACTTTTCATGATCTCAAACTTTTCCCTCGCTGTGCAGGGCACTTTAGTTCAAGACAGTCTATGTGCCTGAGGTTGGATATGGTGCATTGGGTAGTGCAATTCAAGAAGTCACTGTTAATGACATTAACATCGACCGGATGAATTGCATAGGGTTATTTATGTATTTATTTAGTTGTTTATTGAGACCGGGGGGGGGGGGTTCGCATCTATGCTAGGCTGACTTCAAACTTGCTATGTAGTCAAGGATGACTATCGATCCCCATCCTGCCTCTGCTACTTGAGCATTGGGAGTATGGGCATGGACCGCCACACCTGGTCTAGGTGGTGCTAGGGGGTGAACTCAGGGCTTGAAGCTTGCTGAGACCAGCTGAGCTACAACCCCATCCCTGAAGGGAATCACTGATATGCAGACTTTCCCATCTCTGTCTTGGGTGGTATAAGGTCTGTGTCTGAAGTTGAGTTCTTCTAGAGACTACACTAGGATCTGATGACAGATCAGTGATTTGAAGCAGCCCTGGTAGGGGAACAAAGATGTACAAAGATCGAATTAATAAGCAAATGAGAACTGTGGGCCACTGGGCCTCCATCCTATTGCATTATGGTTTGAATCTGAAATGTCCCCCAAAGGCTCATGTTCTACATACTTGTTTCTAAGCTGGAGTCAGTGGAGCCTTTAGAAGGTGGGGCACAGCTGGAAGAAATAGGCCACTAGGGGCAGGTTTTGGAATCCAGCTGGGATCCTGGTTCTGTTCCTACCCTCTGCTTCTTGGTCCACTGTGATGTGAGGAGTCTCTGCCACATGCTGCTGCCATGAAGACCACCATGTCTTCCCCTCCATGGTAGACTGAAGCCATGGGTCGTAACACATCTTCCTTCCCTTACATTGTTTCAGTGCTGGTATCTGTCAGAATTTTGGTCACAGCAAGGCAAAAATAACTAATACACAACTGTATAGAATTGCTGGGTAGAATATAAGATACCAGATACAGTCAAACTCCAATTAGTAAGACATACACTTAGTGTGGGTCTGTGCCATGTACCATGTGGGCTCTGCCTCTTCTACTCTTGTATCTGTTGCTAACATTCACTGTGTGTCCATCGCTTGACCCAACAACCTGCCCTTTGGGATGCTGGGAGATGGCAGAGAGGGTGTTTCAGCTATGCTTTCTGACAAGTGGGAAGCAGGAAGGCATATGCTGTCCCTACATTCATCAGGGTCAAGGGTCACTGCCTACTCATTACCCCCCCCCCCAAACACATACATACTCAATGTTCCCTGTATGGGTCTGTTCTGGCTCCTTCAGACGAGGAAAGGAAGCCAGAGATGCTCAGCCCTCCAGGATCATTGCTCATGATCAGGGGTGTGAGGCTGTGGGACTCTTCCTT